TTCATTTCCATACCGAGTTGCCCATAATAGTAGTGTCCGGCCATTATTATCCTTCGAGTCCGCCTCCACATCATCTCGTTCAACCAGTAGCTTCACCAATTCTTCATGTCCAAACAGAGCTGCGTACCACAGAGGTGTCAAACCACCATTATCCTTCGAGTCCGTCTCCACATCGTCTCGCTCCAGAAGCAGCTTCACCACCGCTTCACGTCCATACAGGGCTGCGAGAGATAGTGGCGTTTGACCGTTCTTGTTCTTCGGGTCCACTTGAGTACTACTTTTCTCTAATAGCAGCTCATTCAGTCTGCCCTCAGCTTCTTCTGCGAGAAGGTGCAAGATTGTATTTCCTTCTTCATTCTGAACAGAAGTGTGTCGGAACGTCAAGACTCTGGCGAGGTCAGGAACGGCGCGTAAGAGTGATAATTGGTCACGAGGGTTGAGATTCTCCGCCGTGAGGAGGATGCTCTCTCTCGGGAGATAAGCACGATCTTTTGGCGTTCTCATCGTCTAGCGCATGAGAGATACGGAAAGATAATAAAAACCCACAGCAGTCTGGTCTTCTTCTTGTCACGCTTAGAGACGTCGTTAATCTTGAGCGCTGTTTGGGGAAGAATGTGGTTGTTAGCAGAGGTTCGGGGCATTCCGTTTTGTTATATGGTTGTATTCCGGCTTATCCCAGATATCTCCTCCATTCCACTTTCTCGGGATCATAAATACGGAGAAACTTGGAGGTGATAACGTACTTAGGGGCGGGCTCTGCTTGAACTTGTCAGCCTTTTCAGAGTCCTCCAAAGCAAAGCGAGAGTGGATGTGAAACGCCAGCATTGGACCTTGCCTTTTCCTAGTGCAAAGTTGACAAGCTTTCTCGAAGCCTTTTTAGGGCCGGAACCTCGTGGAAAGATCAGCCGTGGCTCAACGAATCGAACAATCTCGCTGCCCGATTTACGCCGCGTGCCTGGTGGTGGGCCAGCAGGCATTGGACAGAACGGCCGAGGACAAAAAGTCAATTTGCTTCACACCACTCCTAGCGCGCGCTTTTGTTTGGCTATTCCGCATTCCTTGCATACCAGATCCAGTCACATTACTATACGAGATTATGTTTCCTAAACATAGCTGACAGGATGAGGAATTAATGTACTGGCTAGTACTGCACATGTCCAATAGAATCTGATGATTGATTGTTCCAGGTGTGTTGATCGGTTGAGCGATCTCTGGAGCCTACTGTCCGTGCCCTGGCGTGTTATGACACCGTATCCGAATTTAGTCCGAATACCATACAAATACAAGGGGAAATTGGGTGAATGATGAACAAGCCTACCCCAAAAGGCCATAGCGGTATTTGACCGCTCCTTTAGTTTGTCAGTATCAATTCCGGGCCGAAGCAGCCATGATGAAGCTCGATAATTACCCAGATGTATCAGCCTACAGGAAAACAATTAATCAAGTTTTTGGGTGATTGCAGGTTTTTGGACTCCTAATGGATTACCTCACTTTATACTGAGTACGGACTGTTAGTGTTCAACCAGAGACGTTCAATCTTTATAAAAATATCCATTTGCTGCCAATGGTAGTCATTTCGGTTCGACGCTAAGCTCCCAGGGTCGAGAGTCGACCAAGACTGACGGGTTAGACTGAGGGCCTTTTAGCCGTCCGCTTTATAAATAAGCTTAATATTCAGGCACTTCAACAGATATGGCTTCGTTTGGTCTTGGCGCTCAGAAGCAGCACCTTGCATTTAGATTTTTTCCACTTAAACCAACTGGTTAACGATACGATGCAGGCTCCTCTCGCTCAGCTTCAGCTGGTGGATAATTCTCTGTAATGCTTGAAGAGGGCCGAATTGCTAAAGTGTGGCGAAGAATCGTCTTTGGGTTTTGATGGCACCTAGGGTTTCTTGCTGTACTATTGTTGTTCGTCGGAAAACTGAAGCGAAATGATATTGGTGACGAAAGTTCACTGGAGTGGGGAGGGAGGTCGAGAAAACCCTTCCGCTTGTAAGTATAAAACTTCGTTAGGAAACCAAATCGGAGGGGTTCATCCATGTCCGGATTTGGCAAAAAGTCTCTGCCGCTGCGATGGCCTACGGTGCAAGCCTTGTGCCAGCATCTGACAGGTTCTTACAACAACGGCGGTAAAACTTGATATAAAACAACCTACTGATCTCCAGCATTCAGTAAGGATGTTGTGAAGTTTCGATATAAAGCCCAGGATCCGAAAACTGGGAGACATATCAGTCCACATTGGAGGCTTGTTGGTGTGATCATCTCCTCAAAGCAAGCTTTTCTCAGCACACCGTATTTCTCCTTGACTGCAAGGTAAAGAGCCGTTTCGGTTACCAGCTGTTGCTCTTGGTCAGAAAAGAGGTATGTCAGATCAAAATAATGGAAACTAAGATTAAATCCAAATTGTGCCATACTTTTACCATGCCTCACAAGCTCTCACCTAGCGGAAACATCGCCGTGTCGAGAAAATTGAGAATGATATAGCATAGGTAAGAGTCCTTACAAAACGCCTTGAGATCGCTGCAGCTCTATGGTCAGCCCTTAACATCACAAGTGATGCACTTCAGTGCCAGTTGTGTTTCCAAACTTGAACAATTGCTCACAATTCTTGTTCTCCATAGCCAACGCCGCGCTTGTCTTCTGATCAGATATTACTGCCGGTGAAGAGAATCATTCGGCCGATATTCACTTTATTCTCAACAGGGCCTCCAAATTTACGCACAACACAGAGGTTTTCACACATGTGTAGCCGTTCGCTCAACAGTCGTGCTCCTATGTCACAGAATTAAGAGCATCCCTGTTCGACTCCTGCATAATAAATGTCAACCATGGGCTCAGTCAGCTTTTCGTACTGGGATCTAACTCCCTTGCCCACGATGACGATTCATGACCGGACCTGCTGGGGTTCTGATTGACCAAGAGAACCAATTGAACGAGTTGCTTGAAGAACCCACTGGAAGAACGCTGTTGAAGGCGTCTCATACCTTTAGGGGCTAGTATGGCGTGTTACGACGCGGTTACGTATTCCGAGCTGACGCGTTTTACCATACAAAACATACGGGGAGTGGGTAGTCGCTGGGGTCGCTTTCGGAAGAAACTTGATGCTAAGCTTCAGCAAGCTTTTCAAGGCGGTGAGAAAGAGGGGTTGCGGATCGGTCCGGGGGAATGATGGCTTGACGGTCCCAAACTAGACCCACTTGCTGACAACTTGTTAATGGAAGCACCCACCCATTGGTTAAATATGCTAAAGCTTAGCCTCCAAGTAAGGGGCGGCCCAAAAAAATCTCAAGCCGAGATTGGAGCTACATGGTCCTAATCCGGCCTTGTTAGGTAGGGTGATTTCCAGCCGCTTGACAATTATGATTTCTGTTGTAAGTGCTTATGGACAAAGATTACTCATATAGTGGACGACCACTCGACATTAACCAGTGGCGATACTAGGAAGACGTCAAATGACACTGGGTGCTGGTTCCAAGAGGATTACCGGGGAAGTAAGTTGAGGATCAGGCGGCCGGGTCTCATTTTTACCGCCAAGGCTAGATGCGAGAGGCGCGATGCGAGTGGAGGCAGCCTCCGTAAGCAGGCGACCCAAGTCTTAATATATTACTGTACTGTAATACATATGAAATATTGAGACGTTATATCATGCCCCGCGAAACTGCCCGTAATCCGGCCGCGCCCCCAAATATTCGTCTTATCTGAGCTGCTGCCCGCAGACTAGCCCCTAAGCAAAGCCGCCGAGCCGTTCGTCGACTATATAACTTAGCTATCGAAGACTCGTGATTACAGTTGTCACCCCTTATCACCCCGTTCTCGCCTCTGTCACCTCGGTCTCTAGAATTCTCACCCGTATCACCCACACTCACCCTAGACATTTTTTCTTGCCCACTTAAATGTTCAAGGCGCCTCGAGAATTGGCCGGCGTAGAGTAATTGGGCTTATGTGCAGCTAGTAGTCGGGTGGGTGTTGCCCCGGTGAATATAGGGTGAGCGACGCTTCAATGTCGCGCGACCGGGGGTGACAAGGATGAGTGCGCTATAGACAGGGTGAGAATCAGGGTGGGGATCACCAAGTCGAGCGACCACTTCATTAACCCGTCAGCTGAACTACGGTAGAACATCATTGGATCGTGTTGCTCACCCTGAAAGGGTTGGTGTCCAAGCATCTGCACAGTGCCAGCCAAGAAACGTGTACGGTCGAAAGGCTGAGCCATTGGTCTTCTTATTTACATACCTATTATTCGCAACTGAGGTTGAAACTTTACGATAGGTAGGTTCGTGCTCGCTATAAGTTATGATTGGGCGGCTGACACCTCCTCGTGTCGGGTCCCAGGTGGACTTGAAGGACGATCAGTTAGAGGGTGTTGTTGTGACATCATTTTGCGCATCTGGAATGGGTTTGGTAGATTCAAGATGAATATCTGTAAATGTACATAATTAAATGAAGACAAGCCATGGCCGATATCTACAAGAGACTACCGAGAAACAAGGCATAAGGCATGAACTTCACATTACACAAGCATAGCAGAAGGGCACGCAGTCAACGTAACAAAGAGAAAAGTAAAGACATGGTATGAAAGAAATAGAGGATCAGCGATGGGGATCACCAAAAATCCGAAATCCGAATCAAAAGATCTTTAAAATTAAGCCTCATAAACAACAGACATTATTCGAGAGAGCTTCAAAGAAAGGAAAAAGAGGTATCACAGGTCAAGCCCAAGTCTTTACTATGCACGATTTAAAAAAGCCCTTAACAGGAATATCCTGTATAGCTAGGGAAATACAATGGATGTACTAGGCGATTGGCGCAACGGAATCAAAAAGGGGAACTACCCAAAATGATGAGATCAAAAGAGTGTTGATTCCTGTCTCCTATCTACTGGGATCGAGGGGGTTAAAATAGCCTCGAGAATACCTGGTATCGAATCCTCTAGAATCCCAGAGGTACCGTTTGGGTCAATACGATGCTGATCACCATTTTCCTGACAGCCCTTTTCGCTTAGAGGGCGAAAGCAGCAAGGACACCGGCGACGACGGCGCCGAAGCTGATGGCGTTATGGCCGGCACCGTTGAAGGCGGGCGACGAGGCTGAGGGGAAGGGGGAGGCTGAAGGGGAGGCTGAAGGGGAGGCTGAAGGGGAGGCTGAAGGGGAGGCGATGATGGTGGCGGAGGTGCGAGCGGAGGACACCCAGGGGATGCTGGAGGGAGAGCTGACGGGGGCGACGGTGGAGGTCTGGGGAACGCCGGTGGACTCAGTCTCGGGGCAGATGGTGGTGGTGATCTCGGTGCTCTGCACAACGGTGGAGAAGGCCGGGGTGGAGGTGGTCTCGGTCTCGGGGCAGGTGGTGGTACTCTCGGTGGTCTCAATGCTGGTAGGGCTGGCGGTACTGATCTTGGTGGTGGACTCGGAGGAGCCACCGGCGGCGGCGCCGAGACCGAACTGAGTGGAGTACTGGTATTGGCCGGTGCCCTCGACGACGAGGAGGAGACCGTAGTAGGTGGTGTCAACCTCGAGGTCAGTGCCGGGGGTCCAGGAGAAGGAGCCGCTGTTGGGGATAGACTCGGCGAGGGTCTTGAGGGGCTGCACGTTGGTGGAGGGGCCACGGAGGAGGACCAGGGAGATGGGGCCGATGGTGGTAGGCTGCCACTTGATGGTGTAGGCTTTGCCCTCAGGGACGATCTCGTTCAGGCCAGGGGAAACAATGGCATTGCCCGAAGGGTTCTTGGTGTAGTTGGGGCTAGTCAAAGCTGACGCGGCGACGGCGAGAGCAGAGACGATGGTAGCGGTAGTGAAACGCATTCTGGCGGTGTCGAGGTTGACAAAGAATGACTGGAATGGGATAACTGAAAAAGAATGACTATCGTTCTAAACGAAAGAGTTGGATGAGAAGAGAAGAAGAAGAAGAGGGAAGCCTTGGAGGCTACTTACATTTCTATTTCTCAACTTGGGGGTCCAAAGCCAAGCACGGCCCCAAAACGGTGGACCCGTTCCAAGCGAGAGACTCTGGTTACTTACCTGTATATGGCTATGGCTGTTTGTATTTGTGATTGCTTTACACCCTCTGTAGACATGTCTTAAAATACTCTGTATACCAGAGTAATACTGATACTAGACCAGCATAGTATGGTATGCAGCAAAAAGACTAACTATTCTCAGGCCTGATCCCAGTCGCCATCTTGGGGGTTAGAGTAAAGCCGGTAAGAATAAGGTACTTTATGGTTGTAGGCTAGGTGCGCTAGACTCTTGTCTTTCCGCTAGTAACAGCTGCTAACCCTAATTTCTAAATAAAGTACGGAGTACCTTATCCTCCATTGCAATAATCCGAAATAAGAAATGTGGTATAACTCCTTGATCGCAGTGAAGGGCTGACAGGAAAATCTCCAGAAGCAGCCTGGTGTTAGCAAGGTGTCCCAGAAGTGCAGTATCACCGCCCGCGTTGATCATTCCTCGAGAAGCCTGTTGAGTCTGCGAGAACCTGGATTAATGCGGGTAACTGTTACTGTAAGTTGAGTCTCATCTCAGTCAAGTGGAGACCCTCTCGCCACTCTCAAGGTAGATTAAGTCACAGATAGCCCAGGCCAGACCAAGCTGTGCAAGGGCTCAAAAGTATGCAGTGCGATTCTGGTCGTCGTGCCCGAGCTAGCCGTTTCGAAGCCTGTTCGGTATCTGGTTTGAACCTACTGACAAACTAAAGGAGCGGTCAAATACCGCTATGGCCTTTTGGGATAGGCTTGTTCATCGTTCACCCAATTTCCCCTAGTATTTGTATGGTATTCGGACTAAATTCGGATACGGTGTCATAACACGCCAGAGCACGGACAGTAGACTCCAGAGATCGCTGAACCGATCTACACACCTTCAATCAATCATCAGATTCTATTGGACATGTGCAGTACTAGCCAGTACATTAATTCCTCATCCTGACACCTACTACTAAAAGGTAATGAGTTACACTATATACTTAATACCAGACTGGAGTAATAAGGAAAGGATAGGGCACAGTGGGGATATAGTTGCCAGATGGCAGCCAATACATGTGTGCGGCAGTGCGTATTGGCTTACTCGATGATGATGATGATGATGATGATGATGTATTCATTTGCCCGATGTAGCTCGCTCTATATATATGCTGCTATGCGGGAGTGCTGTCAGGCCTGCCGACAGCTGGAAAAAGTGGTCGCCAGCCCACTGGGCGACCGTTGGAAACTCGTACGAATTTCTGGTCAATCGCCCTCGAATGGAAAGATGTAAATTGAACAAAAGAAATGCACGGATGCAAACATGATAAACAAAAAGCCAAAATGAACGTCATTTACCCCTGATCGCGTGTGGGAGGCCCTGCACTTCACCACACCATTCCGACGTCCACTTCTCCCCAACCGTCCAGTCTTGTCGGCTGCCGCTTGCACGCTCGCTTAGATCAAGGGAATGCAGAGGACCTGGCACTGCACTCCTCACGGGCGCCATCCTTCTTCTTCCGTCACACTGTCTAAGGGGTCATTATCTCCGCTCCTTTGTCACCCCCCTGCTCCTCGCCTAGAGCCGTGGGATCGACTGTCTGAAATTGGCCTAGAAGGCCGGTCTTGACCATGAATTCGGCCACAACTGTGCGGGCCTCCGGTCGTGTGAGGAGTTCGTCCCGGTGGAGAGCGACTCCCTGGTATGAGAGAGCGTTTCTCATCCAGTCTCGCTCGTCCTGGTGCAAGGGGCATTCCAACAGGACGTGTGTCACTGTTTGGCTACCAAGATCGCAATCACACCGCGCTGTTTCGCGTCGGTTGATACGATTCAGGTAAGCCCCTTGGCCTATTCGCCCAGTTCTAAGCTGCATCAGAATCGATGTCGTCGCTTTGCGCAAGCCCGTCCAGTATTCTAGCGTCTTCTTTGTTGGTGCATCAATCAAGCGTTTCGTCGGACGACTGGTCGTTTCCTTGGCCCACGTTCTGTCCCATTCCAGCTTCGCTTCTCTGCGAATTCGTCGTCTCGCTGCGGCTGCGAGACGTATGTCTCGGTTGAGAGGGTTATGCAGCCCGTCCGGTTCCTGCGCCGCTTCTTTTGCGTGTTGGTCCACGATCTCGTTGCCAATGACTCCTTGGTGCGCAGGAATCCATCTGAGTTCTGTCCGAATGCCTCTGCCCGCAAGTTGTCGGATCAGGTTGAGGCATATTGGCTTACTCCTGCTGCACTGATTTGGAGACACATTTTGCCCCCTAAACCGCTGCACCGGATTTAGCTTATTCAGAATCGACTTCACTTGGCACATTCCAGAACTAAAAGAATTGCACATTTTTTTTAAAAAACAAAGATTCCCTGATTTCAAGGGCATATAAACCGACTATTTTTAATTAAAGCGTAATTTTCTGCGAGATACATTCCAATACTCCGCCTTCTTTGGATATTTTTACTACTCCTAGGTAGCGGTGAGCCCAAGTAGCGAGGGCGTGGGCGTGCCCCGCGAGGGCAGCAGGTTCATGGGCATTATACTGGGAATCCCTGGCAGATATAACGATGGTGACTGAGCCGGACTAGGGAGATTCGTCGATTTCTACAATAAATCCAGTTACCCTCTATAACTATTCGAGACTAGCGAGGTAGAAGTTGTAGAATAATCAGATTTGGCAGATGGTTATTGGAGTATTGAGAGACGGGACGAGGGGCGGAAGGGAGGATTAAAGGAGAGACGTAGATTAATGTGGCAGAAAAAACAATGTCGAAGGGAAAGTACTGGAAGATAGTATATGGATGCTACGCTAAGCCCAAACAATGGGTGTATCGTGGATCTAGCAATTTTGTATCGTCGTTCTAGCAATTCCCCATTTATGTCGTGATTTCTATGTTTACTAGGGGATTCTCGGCACTCCGAGAATCGGGACTTTCAACCTTCCGCTCTTCTCATCTCTTCTTCAACTAATTCAATTTAATTCATCTCATCTTTGGTCGGTTCCCCTGGGTCAATTAGCCCCATCTCACATATTAATCAATGGTAAATTTATGAAAGGGGCTGCCTGAAACACATTTTTTGCTGCCGTTTCGCGATAAGTACTCTGGGGTCTTTCGAACTTTTTCTCTTCCCACTATGCTTATCTGGGTGGGCTGGATGGATTAAAGGGGCTTAGTGGCCGATTGGCCTTGGCTACTCTTGTAGCATGTATATGATGGTTGTATTATTGATAGAGTTATGTGGGTCACGACACAGTAATACTGGTCTGACCCTAACACATGAGTAGTGCGTACAGTGACGCAGCAAATGTTTTAACACCCCTCTGGATTTTTAGATTCTGCCAGTCAAAAATTCGGATTTTTAACACCCTTTAACCTTATTCTTAATGAAACACTTGGCCTTTGTGTATTGAATTGAATTATACCTTCTATGGAAAACACCTACTGAAACAAGAATGTTTAAAAAGTAAGATATCATAAACTTGCTCTTCGGTTTACAATAGGCGGTCTCAAAAGCGGTCTGTCCAGAGGTGTTAAAACATTTGCTGTGTCACTGTATCACGGTGACAGAACAATACCATCAGTACAGGGGATCCAACAGCTACAGTACTAAGAAAGAGAAACTTATCATGTGACCACCCAGGTCTTCCATTTCAACTCGAAGAATTCCCCCACCACTAGAACCCCCTGAGTCTCTATTTTTTTGTCGGTTACACCAGCATCAATCACGCGATGGCAGGGCACCTTGCAATATCATTTAGATTTGGGAATTTGGAGTTTAGAGATAGGAGCGGGTCAGGGCGGTTCTAACAGACGCTCAAATTGGAGGAACTGGGCGCAATTTGAACGCCACTTGGAGTTTTTCTCGTAAATACAAGGAATTGTTCCAGGATCCATGGTCACTCTCCACAGTACCATCGTGGGAACCCGTATTGTCATCTGCTTATATTGTGACAGGATGAGGAATTAATGTACTGGCTAGTACTGCACATGTCCAATAGAATCTGATGATTGATTGAAGGTCTGTAGATCGGTTGAGCGATCTCTGGAGCCTACTGTCCGTGCTCTCGCGTGTTGTGACACCGTATCCGAATTTAGTCCGAATACCATACAAATACTAGGGGAAATTGGGTGAACGATGAACAAGCCTATCCCAAAAGGTCATAGCGGTATTTGACCGCTTCTTTAGTTTGTCATATTGTTCTGGAAGGTTGTCATCGGATCCGAGCGTTTCATCTGAACACCTTGAGAGAAATAAAGGTCCTGGATAACCCACTTCCGAACAGCCCCACGCGATTGATTATTAACCCTTGTGTTTGTCCTTTCTATTCGTTTCTCCTTTCTTCAACCTCTTTGCTTCGTTCATTCCGTTGCTTCTGAGCCAAGTGGATCGTCAACATGGCGGACCGTGAGGTTTCAAAGTCGTTGTCAGACCCTGAAGCTAAGAATTACCTGAGCGAGCTTCCCGAGCCTTATGATCAGGATGTTGGAATTGTCAACGAGGCCGCGCCGCTGACACGTGATCTGAGAGGCCGCCACATGCAGATGATTGCTATTGGTATGTCGTGGACCTGTTAAGGAGATGGCTTGCGGACGTATTAATTAACTGGTTGCCAAGGCGGTGCTATTGGAGCGGGCCTTTTTGTTGGAACAGGGAGTGCTTTGTCCACTGGTGGACCAGCTAGTTTGGTATGAAGATCCATCAAATCTTCCCGTGACGGATATGAGTCTCCCTTTTGCTTATACAGAAAAATTTCAGGTCGTCTGTTACCTGATTATTGGTGCTATGCTGCTGTGCACCGTGCAATCGCTGGCTGAGATGGCTGTCGTTTATCCCGTGAATGGTGCTTTTTCTCCTA